GTCCCAGTCTACAATAGATGATTTAAGCCCCAAGCTTTAAGAAATTAGCCAATCACGGTCAAGTATGAGTAGAATGCGCGACTGTCATTAGTCAATTTCTTAAGCCCCAGTCTACAATAGAGATTTAAGCCCTAAGCCTTAAGAAATTGACTAATCACAGTCGCGCATTCTTCTCATACTTGACCGTGATTGGCCAATTTCTTAAAGCTTAGGGCTTAAATCATCTATTGTAGACTGGGACTAAGCCTTAAGAAATTGACTAAGGCCGGATTCAGACTGAACGCGATGAGCGATGAGCGACGAGCGATTATCCAATGGGCGAACAGGTTACATGGGAAAGCTGTACGCCCATTGGATATCGCTCGTCGCTCATCGCTCATCGCGTTCAGTCTGAATCCAGCCTAATGAGTCCCAGTCTACAATAAATGATTTAAGTCCTAAGCCCTAAGAAACTGACCAATCACAATCGAGTATTCTCCTCATTTTTGATTGTGATTGGTCAATTTCTTAGGGCTTAGGGTTTAAATCTCCTATTGTAGACTGGGACTGACAGTCGCGCATTCTACTCATACTTGACCGTGATTGGCCAATTTCTTAAGGCTTAGGGTGCTTTCACATGGAGCGTAAGTTGCGTAGCCAATCACAGGGTCATGCTGATAGAACCGTTTCAATAATTCCGTTGAACTAGTCCTATGATTGGCGATACGCAGGTTACGCTACGCAACTTATGCTCCATGTGAAAGCACCCTTAGGGCTTGAATCATCTATTGTAGACTGGGACGTAGGGTGGCGTCCCATGGAGCGGAATACGCGGAAGCGGAATCAGCGGATCGCCGATCGCAAGATTATTCTGATAGAGCCCTTTCAAAAATTCCGTCGAAACGGTCTTGTGATTGGTGATCCGCTGATTCCGCTTTCGCGTATTTCGCTCCATGGGACGTCGCCCTAAGGCCGGTATTCATAGTCGATTCTTATTTCATTCAATGGCACCCCCTTATGTCCCCCTTCGAACCAAACAACTTTTGTTTGAAACGTTTTTCCGTATCATTCATATTTTTGGAGATATTTGCGTGGATCATTAAAAATGAGACACTCTGAACATGTCGTTGACTATTTCCAGTAAAATCCAATTTTCATGAGTTCAGATATACTTGATTAGTAAGAAGAGCTAGCGATTTGTGTTATATTTTTATACATTTAAAACTCTGTTTAAACATAAATATTTGATACCGGTGTCGCACATGAGAATCGAACTTGCGTAATGAGAAATATATATTGATCAGAACGGAATGCAAAGGAAAAGGATGTGCGCCACAACTCTACACACAGTGTATACATATATTATACTTTTATTCGACTAACTCGCAAGCATTCCTTCGAGCCGCTACTCTTCCTTTTCGATTCGAATATAAAATTGCTTTGAAAAACACGAAGATGACGTGCGGGAGGTCGCGCCGGAAGTGACGTAGCGCGCATGTAGCGCACGTAGCGCACGTACGTCCGGTCTCGCCGAGAAAGAGAGAGAGAGAGAGAGAGCTCCGCTCCGGGATCGAACGCGAATAGCTCCATCTGTGAGTGACGACACATAGTGGGATGCTTGCGGTTGATTGTATACTGAGAAAATTCGTAAGAGATGGTGCTGAACGGGAAATATTGAGATCCTGCTGAATAGGTATGAATTATAAGTGCAATAGAGCATTTTCGATTCGCGCGTACGCATACCCGGGCCGGGCCGGGCCGGGCCAGCGGGGATCCTCGTCGCGGGCAGCTCGCGGCTCGCCGCACGCGGACGCGTACCAGCGTCTCGTTGCGAGCTACCAGAAAATGTGGCGAGCGCCTAACGTCACCGCCGTCGTCCTCCCCGGGATCTGCAATTCGTCCCGTTTCTAGCGCGGCTCCGAATCCCGTTCGCCTCCTCTCGCGCCTCCTTTCCGCTCGTCAGAGGCGCGTTCCTCGGAGGTAAAACGCACAGGCGGCATGTCATTTTTTTCCGCCGTGCATCGCCAAGTACGTTCGGATACGTTACGGAGTCGGGTGTATATGGCTCTCGCTACTCTCGACGAATGGATTGGTCCGCCGTCTGCAGTAGTCTGCACCCCTCGCCTTAACGATACACTCTTTTTAAGCTCTCTTGCGACTCGCGTCAGATCGGAAAGAGTTGCATTTGTAATCAAGTAAACAGAAAATTATCTCGGGAAATGTATCGGACATGGGTAGCAGCATGAGAAACGCTCTGGGAAGGTTGACAGTATGCTATTATCTGTGACAATTAGCCAAGCCCGTTTTATTTCTTCACTGCTGCCTAATATTTGTACCAACAATAGTACATTACAATTATTATTACAGTTACATAACTATAGTCCCGAGAGTTAACATAATATCATGTTTCATCGCAATATGTTACGTTGATATTGTTACTTTTGGCGATGTGTTTTATTTAAAAAAATATTTTCTTTAAAAGCTATATTATATGTAATATGTAAAATATGTATGGACAAGCTGTAAAGATAAAAGTAGAAAGAATAATAATAAAGAGAAATTTCTTCTAGAGATTGCATTTAGTCAGTTTATGAAATAGCAGCAGTTGGCTTATTAACGAGGGGTAAACCACTGACCAAAATCATGTACACTAATGCCTATTAATGCCCACTGAGTATTACTTTATCTTATTTTATCTTTATAATGCCCCAAAAATGCCCTCGGCTGTTTACTCCTCGCTGAAGTCAAGTCTTTCGATTGACTTTTCTTATTTCTTTCTGTAGATGCCATGTTTCATCTTTTGAAAAGTAGACTCGAAAAGTATTCGAATACATTTAACCCTTTGAAGAAGTGTTTTTTGGCTCGCTGATTACGATTCTGATTTAGAATTTAAATGCACGTTTTCTGGCGCCATGCTGGGTACGCCATTATAAATTTTGTAATTTTGCCTGAAAAATTTTCGAGTACCGAGTTCCAAATACATCGATTGCATTTCTTTTGCAATTAAAAAATTTTCAAATTTTGACTTGAGATTAGAAATTGGTCATCAAAAAGCCCCAGATACCTAGCTTCTACTTATAGAAATAGTATAATATATAAAAGCTATTGTATATTTATTCAGGCATCGACACTTTTGTCAAATACTTCGTAATGGAGTTGGGAGTAATTCAAGAAAAGTCACCCCCTTCGCGTGGCTTAAAACAAGTGAAGGTGGATAATTGGGGATCGTTCTTTCTTCAACGACTTCAGACACTCTACTCAGAGGAACAGCTGCTCGATCTTAAAATTAAATTTCCTACAAGTGATATTACTGTGCAGGTATAATCAATATTATTGGTACAAAGTAACAACGTCGAAAAGTATTTCTAAACGCATGTTTTTCAAATTACCAATATTATTAATAAAAATTCCTTCAGGCTCATCGACTCGTGGTGACAACATGTACAGACTATTTTATGCAACTCGAAGAACAGCAAAAGGAAAAAAATGTGGACTTTAATGGTGTAATAATTATGCCTTCAGATATGCCTTACGAGTGTGTTAAGTCTATCATAAGGTGCGTATACATATATTTTCATATTTATCGTTCTAATGTATTAAACGTGGGTTCTCCAAACGGATTACTAGTCCTTTGATGTTCCAATCATCCTCTTAAAAAGCGTACATGGGAGACTTGCATGGATTGGCTCCAGACCTGGACAAAAAATTGACGACTCTTGCACTCCTACTCAGTTTCTTTAATATTGTTTGAATTTATTTTTATCTCGTGTATACTTTAAGTAATTATTATTTGTATGTAGCTTTATGTACACTGGACAATTGGAATATTGGACGTCGGAGCAACACGCTTTGTATCGTACGGCGCAAAAGATGAATATGACAGTCCTAACAAAATTGCTCGACGCTCAGTTCAACACGTGCAAAATGCAAGATGACGGAGCAAAAGCGTCTACGCGTCCAGTGACAGCCTCGAAACCGTCAACTCCGACTGCAAAAACGATTGTCAGTTCCAGCAGTTCGGCATCGACCTTATCTGGACAACCATTGCCAGGTAGAAAGTACGTATCGTGATGTTTAATAAGAAATGCAATCTGACGGCAATAAAATGTCAATAATGTGAATTTTTGAAGGCTCCCCATATGGAAGAGAAAGCTAGACGAATCTCCACCCATGCCAGCGATGAATTATGAAGTACGAACATTCCACAGCGCATCTTCAATACATAAACAGGAGACGACCCCTGGCCCATCCAGATTCGATCTTCCAGAGGCAGACGATATTGCACTGGGAGTATTTTCTTCATTCGACGACATTACATACAATACAAAGCCTATTGTTCAAGCATCCGACTTGTATAAGAAAGGAGACTCTGGTAAGCATTCGCCCGACAGGGACAGCAAAAATGACACGACTGAGGATGAGGAAGAGGAAAATCAGGAGAGTGAGAAGAACTTGAGAGATGCAAATTCAGACGACGATTGGAGCTTGACGAGCAAGAGTTACCAGAGATCCCAAGAAGGCCCATCTAAACGAGTACGTTTTGATCTGGAGGAGAAAGAAAATGTGGAAAAGCCTAAGACGAATCTTCGCCCAAGTACCGAAGAATCTATCAACAATCATGCAAAAATCATCAGAGAAGTGTTAAAAAAGTATCCCCATTTAGTGAAGAACAATAAAAATATTCGCTTGAAGATTATGCAGAAAGAAGCGAAATCCTCCGACAGTAATATTGCTGGGAAAACGAAGGTATCTTATGTGGTTTTGAAATCCGACCATCTGTTGGCCAGCAATAACGACGAAAACGATTCAAAGTGTAACGGCAGCATCGACGGCGAGACAGGCCCGTGGAAGTGCAACAAGTGTGACTTGGACGAGGAATATACCAATTATTACATGTACAGAAGGCACATGCAGGATGTGCACGAGGAGAAGTTTGATCCGAGAGTTTGCGAGCATTGCGGCTACAAGGCAACTAAGCGCAACATTTTGATGTATCATCTTTATACCAAGCACAACGTGCCGCCGCCAAAGAGCATGTGCTTTCCAAAGTGTCAGGCCTGTTCGTACGTTGCCTTGTCAGAGACTCTGCTGGTGCGTCACCAGATAAATCATAATCATCGGCCTGCTACCCGACATCACCCTCTACCTTCGGAGGACATTCAATGCGGCCAATGCAATCAGTCATTCAGAAGTGTCACCGAGCTCACCACTCACGAATTGAACAGTGGACACGGAGGTATGGCGGATGGTAAAGAGACCAAGGGCCATCGTTGTCCATATTGTGGTAAAATGTTTGTGCGCATAACAAATTTGCAAGTACATTTGGATTGCGCACATAAAGAATTACAGAGAGACACCACCGAGTCTTCCCCGACTGCACCGGCTATACCATTGGAACCATCATCCGAAGCGGAGGCTCTCAGCCATGTCGCCAGCGGTATAGCCGCTTCCCTCGGTGTCGGAGACACCGAGACTGCACCGGAAACGCAGGAGGAAGAAACTGTAAAGATCCAGAAAGCTACGGGTGAGGAATATATTGTGTCGGATATGTTGGACGATATGACACACAACATCACTTACAATGAGCACGAATTGGAGAGCCAGCACATGATTATGTTGGTTAACAACGACGAAAATTATCAGCACGTCGACAACAATCATCATCAACAGCCACAACAGTTGGATATTGCCGATAACGAGCAGATAGTCATGCAGGGCACAGACGACGGTATGATCGTCTATATTCATGGTGCTGAGGAGGCCGATCATCGAGCCTATGACAATTATCAGTCTGTCGAGGCTGCGCAAGAAACGGAAGAAATAGTAGAGGAGGTTGTCGAGGAGGTCGAGGAGGTCGAGGAGGTCGAGGAGGTTGAGGAGGAAGTCGAGGAGGAAGTCATGGAGGAAGAGGAGGCGCAGGAGGTGCCACAAGACATGCTGGAGGAATGTGCTGATAATCAAGTCGAAGTAATACAATACGTTGAAGAACAAACGGAGATAGTAGAGTACGACGAGGAACAATGCAGCGAACAGAGCAATAGTATGGATGGGCAGCAAGAGTCCGTTATGATAATTGAGGAAGAGCATGTCGAGGGCGACGAGGACATGGGAGAGACTACTGATAAGTCACAGAAACTGCAGAGTTTCACTACCGAATGGGACGAAGATAGCGCGGGCATAACGGAATCATGAATACTGTAATACTGCATTTTTTTTTATTTGCTTCTGTAATGTGTTAGTAACCTTTCACCATGGCTATAGTTTTATTTTCAACAAACACTCCAATGGAAATTGTCTTACTTTATGTAATGTTTGTTGATAGCGGACGGTGGACGCAACGAACGCGATGCAGCCATACCGACTTTGCCACGTAATATATTTATAGCAGTAAGCCCACAAAATTAATCAAACTATTATATTCAGCTCTTTAGCCGGGAGCGGTATTATTGAAGATATTGTATGAGCTTGTATATGTGAATTCTATCGTTGCACCGATACATTAATCATTTTCTTTAAATATAAGCTATCATGTATTTTACAACAAAAGCATGAAATCTCCAATAATCTCGATCAAGATTGTTGACAGCAGTAGCACCGTTAAAATCCCGTTAACTTGGAATAAGACATGTTTAAACTTGCAAGTTTTTTCTTTCATATACAAATATGTTTCAATATGCGTGTAGCTTGTTAAAAAACACCTAAATTAAGATTTATAGGTTTATTTCGTGAGAATATACATTAGATATATGTATGTCGAATGTATATTTGTGACAAATCGCGTAGGTCTTTTTAACACTATTCCGCAAGGTGAAGAAAAATATATCACATTTAAAAGAATTCTTGCGAACGAATGTTCCTGTCCCTCAAATATCGCCTGTAATGTTTTATACCGCAATCGATAATAAGCCATGATTTCTACAGGGGGTAAAGGCTATAATGACAACATAAGCGTCGCGCGTTATGCTTTATTACATTTTGGATTGTGCACAATTATATATGGAAAGACATAGATAAATAAATATATATATTATAAGAAAACCTGACGTCGCAGTATATTACAAACTTGTGTCATAAAACGAAATGTAGTTTTGAGACCAGTGCCCACGTTCAGCAGGCACAACTGTTGAGTGAGCGTTCAGTATGATTGGCTAATACTTTTAGATCC